GCTCCTCCTCACTTCCTNTTCCCCCCCCCCCCCCCTCCTCTATTTATAGCCAGTGTAGTGTCTGGCTCAGCTGCGGCTGGCCTCGGTGCTGACTCCTGAGAGCTACGCTACCCAGTTGGGAGGAGCGTATGGCGAGGTACGTTTGATGCTGGTGGTAGGCACACTCATTATCTTTCAGCATAAGATTGTTTTTGCGTTCGATTGAAAGAGAATCAATCATTTGGCTTGATTCTTGTTTTTCGATAATAATTTGCGGGTCACTAGACCGCATTGATGATAGGCTTTTCAAACCTCATCAATCTTGATTTCGAAAGGGTCGAGAGGGAAAAGAGAACCTGTTGTCCTTGATTTTGTGCGTTTTGTCCTATTGGGCGTCGATTTTCTGTTGAGGAGACAGGGGCTTTCATTGGATTTCTGATCGATTCTTCGAAGGAGTGGCTCTTTGATCGCACCTGTTTCATGTTCTTGGTCCTTTTTTTTTTTTCTTTCTTTAGTAATTAATGGAACTGAAATCATTATTGAAATAGCACTTAAGCGTGTTGTGGGTTTGCTTTAGTTTCCCTTTTTTGAGATTAGGACCCGAATTTGGGATCTGGGACAGCCGATAGTAATTGATTACAATGATTTCCAAATTGAGCTCTGTGTTGTGGAGAATGTGGCATTTTCACATTAGGCAGATTATAATCTTGTTCACATACATAAATTAATATGGGATGATGATAGGTGGGATTCGTGGATAGATGAATCATGAGAATGCTTAAGATCTGGCACTGAATCTATCTACTAGCACAAAATATGGGGTTTGAAAAGAAGAAAAATTAAACCTTTGAAAGAAAAGAGTTGAACAAAGAGTTGGAGACTGTATTCCCCTTCTGCTTTTTGATAAGCAGGGGATTGGTTGTTATAGAAACCTGAAGAAATAAATATCTTAAAAAAAAAAAAACAAACTGAGTTGGAGATGGCTGGCAGCAATGGTATCTCGAAAATTGGTTTAGAATGTGAAATCACTTAATTGTAGCAAGACATATCAAGACAATAGGTAAACTAAAGTTTGATTTGATTCATCAAATGAAAACCAATTACAGCAAGTTGTGTGGCTTTAGTTTTGTGTGACTTTGGACCCAAATCTCAACTGAATCAACCTTGAGACAAGTCTCTCTCCTTAAACAAATTTGGAATCCATCTAAATCATCTGTAAATGGCCCTCTTGAACATCCCAAAATCTATTCCTAAATGCTTAATAAATTTTCAATGTCAATCTATATCTAAGAGATGACCAATCGCCACAAGACAACTGTAAATTTTATCATTGGGAGTACTTGAAAGATGTAAAATAATGACGAGCTCGGATTGGACTACGATAAACTAAACTAGTCCAAAAGCAAACTTGTCCTGAATCACATGATTTCCTACAAAGGAAGTTTGTAAAATATGATTAAAAATAAACCATATTTCAATTACAGGAGTTTGTACGTGTTGTGGCATGTAAATGTAGTTTCTCTTCTTTTTCTTAGACCTGTGAAATAGAACTCTTTCTAAAGAAATTGTTTGTCAAGTTTTGCTATACTTATTCTTATTACTATTGGTAGTCTGATCCCTAGAGAGTTACTAGTGAGTAACTAGAGATCAGATTTAAAGGTTCATAATGAAAGAATTTCTAATCCTGTGAGAGTGTTGGATGTTGTGACTTGAGATTATATATTTGATTATCCAGCTGCGGAAATCAATTTCAAGTATCATCTTTGTTTCATTACACCTACAGTAATGACAAAAAAACAGAAGATTCCAGCTACTTGGGGCAGGTTGCATGGATTTTTCTCTCTTGACCAATACCATTTGTTTTGTCCTATCTGCATAACTAGTAAACTTTTAACTGTGCCAGTTACAGAAATCAGGTATTCAGTTGAATACAATGGTTTAAACAGTAAGATGGTGTAAGAGGTACTCTGAGGATGCTAATAAATGTTAATTGATAAGAACCAGCATGAGTAGTATGTCTTCTCTACCAACATCTTCCAAGCTGGAAACTTTTCTATGAAATAACTTCTTTTTGATGCTTAAAGTGCTATGATTCTTGTTAATTAAAATGTTTTAGTAATCTGGAACATCAAATTCTATCGATGCTTGAATTGCTGTGATTCTTGTTAATTAAAATGTTTTAGTAATTTGGAACATCGAATCCTTCAGCTGTTTTGGTTCTCTTTCATTCACTAATTTATTATCAAGTCTGCTTAACAACGTTGTTTTCAGGTAATTGTTGTATTGAGATGTTTTAGGTGCTCTATGGAGCATATTTAATTTTAAACCAGATGCAAACTTAGCCGAGTGGTTGCTTTTACCAATAGAAAGCTTTTGAACATTTACCTTGAATGTTAGACATGTTTATAACTTCATCTATTTACCATAACTAGCCTTTTTTATCTTTCATTATATCCTTGTAGGACATGGCTTATCACTGGTAGAGGGATTGCAAGGAAAGTAAAGAATGCCACCTTTTCTGACAATCAAATCAAAGATATAGGGGTAGAAGCAAATCGGGAGTGCCCTAATTGCAAGCACCTTATTGACAACAGTGATGTGAGCTTTTCATCTGCAATGGTTATCATTTCTGCTCTTTCTGGTACAGTTATATTTCTTGTGATGCAGATTCATGAGGTTTTATGTTCATCTAAGATTTTGGATCTTTGATCATATTTGTCTCTTCTGGAAAGAGATACCTATCTGCCTGTGAATTTGACTTCAATGCAAGTGGCATCCAATATTGTGCTTGTGAAAGTTAAAGCCATTCCAATTGTTGCAGTACACACCTATTTGTATAATGCATTATGGTATTTGGACCTTTTTTAATCTGTTGGTTTCCTTTTTTTCTAGTTGATGGTAGTTTATAAGTGTATATTAATGATGCCAAGATATTTTTTTTTCCCAAAAGAGGCATGACCTTTTTTATTTATTGTTCTTTAACAAATTATTTCTTCCCTTCTAATACTTGGCATGTAAGGATTTATCATCTATGCCTATGAGTTTAATTCCTTTTCTTTAAGTTTTATTCTTCAAATTGTAGGGAAACTTCGTTGGTAACTGGTTCGTAGTGAATATTCCTTTGCTACATTTTGATCTTCTGTTAGGAAAGAGTAGCAGTCTCTTTTCTTTCTTTGATTAGGATTTGAAAGTTGTAAGTCATTAACAATAAGTAGTTCTACTTCATTGAATTGGAGCAGGGTAGATATAATTTTATATGTATGTGAGGTGCTGTGTGTTGCTGCGGCTGTGAGAAAGTCGAGTTCAGCAAGGTGCTTACATAAAGTGTGTGGATCAACATGAAAAGAGAATTACAGGTGGAGCACTAAAATATGACTAGAGCATGAGTGTGTAAGATCATAGTATTGCCTTGTGGCATGTGAGATCAGAGTGGTTGGTGAGAGTCTGCAGTGCTCAAGTGCTGTTTGTGAGTTTGCGTTAGGACCAGCCAAATGGTGCTGTGAGTCAACAAAGAGGAAGATAAAGGAAGTTTGAGAGAGAGCAAAGATATTGTCCTTCTTTTGTTAATGGTTTTTAGAATTTTTTCCTGCTGTAGACGTTGCTAAACATTTGATTTCATAATATCCTCACTTTTTGCATTGCAGGTAACATTGGATTGGCCTGGACTCCCTGCTGGTGTTAAGTTTGATCCATCTGATGCTGAGTTATTGGAACATCTAGCAGGAAAAATTGGCCTAGAAAATTCAAAGCTGCACATACTTATCGATGAGTTCATACCAATGCTGGAAGAGGATGAAGGAATTTGCTATACTCATCCTGAAAACCTTCCTGGTAAAGAAGGCTCCGGCCATTTTATTTCAACTGTATGATTTTGAAGTTTTAGCAACTAATTTGATTTATGCATTAGGTGTTAAGAAAGATGGAAGCAGTATTCATTTCTTTCACAGGATATCAAATGCGTATGGTACAGGCCGGCGCAAACGTCGAAAGATAAACCATTGTGCTTTGTCTGAGGAACGTATAAGGTGGCATAAAACAGGTAAAACTAAATGTGTCTTAGAGAATGGTGTTCAAAAAGGTTGGAAGAAAATAATGGTTCTTTATAAAAGCGCAAAAAGAGGCTCTAAACCAGACAGAGCTAATTGGGTGATGCATCAGTACCATCTTGGCCCTGAAGAAGATGAAATGGAAGGTCAAATAGTGGTTTCAAAAATTTTCTGCCAACAACCAACGAATCAACTTGGTACATATGCGATGGATCCTGTCAAAGAGGACAATGACATCTTAAATGTTAGAGTTGGTCCAAGAACCCCAAAGACAAATACGCCACAACCACCCCGACTGAAAAACGACTCTCTACATGAGGTTAATGGAGATAGCATGACAATCTTGCAGGGCCAGGTATTGATATTGTTGTTTACTCAAAATAGGTTTATCTTTTTCTATATCAATAATGTTAGAATAAGCTATTATATGTATCATAATGGCATTGCAAGGCTTGACTTTCCTTTTCATCTTGTACTTTTGATGATTTCCTTAGTTGATTATTGGCATGTTCATGTAAGCACTACAAAAGTTCTCAGTAATTTTAATAATCCATTCTTGTTTCTTAGGAGCAACATCCTGTCTCTGAGGTTCCTCTTTCACCATTACCTGTCAGTCAGCCCAAGGGTGAAGATGAAACCCCTATATGGTGGGCAGGTGAATCGCAAGCTGTTGATGAGATGCTTCCAAGCAATTTTCACGAGTCTTTGCTGTGCCATGAGGTCCTTGATTCATTTCCTCACTATGAGGAGTCGTCTATACATTTGAACTGCACAAACCTTGACTGCAGCAGGAATCAGACAGTAGCTGCCGTCAGCAGCACAGCTAGTGGGTTCTCAGATCTTGATAACATATTGATTGACACGCCACCAGACTTTCAGCTTTCTGTAAGATTCAAAGTTATAGCTTTTATGATCTTAAAAATAGGTATTCTTATATCTTTCTTGTAATGCAGGACTTGCAGTTTGGTTCACAGGAAAGCATAATGAGTTGGCTAGACCGTTTCTAGATGGAATAACAAATTTCTGTTCTTCGGAGGGCCACTGTGAAGACTTTAGTTTTGAGTTGCTATGAATTCATGACTACTGTTCTAAATTGCATATAATGAATGAGAGACAGAGGAACAGCTTACATGAATGCCAACCTCTAATTGACGTTTATCATTATGTTTTATCAGATGAAGGTTGGCTTTTTGAATGCAGAACAGGTATTCTTCCAGAATTTTTGGTGTGGTAGGGGAAGTCTAAAAATCAGAAATTTTGTAATTGTTGTGACAGAATTAGAATGTCTCTGATGAAGTTGTATAAAAATCTATCCAGCATCATAGTAAAGCAACATGTGGTGACAGAATTAGAATGTCTCTGATGAAGTTGTATAAAAATCTATCCAGCATCATAGTAGAGCGGCACTGATAAATTTATAGTTCTTCATAAATAACGTAAATTATGAGGTAAAATGTTTTTTTTTTAATTCTTTGAGTTCTCATTAAATGCCAGTGCCAATGATTTTCAATTGTTCTTGTTACAATATCTTGAGCACTGGTTCCTTAAATGTATGTCATTTTTGTTCTTATCCAAGGATTTGTCTGCCATACCTAATTTTCTATTGATCTGTAGTTGTTGCAAATTAAATATATTTTATGCATACACTCATAACTTGTATCCCTTTTTGTTGATCATATGACACTTGTGACTGATCATGCCATTTTTATAGTTCGTGTCCGACAATTCTAGTTCATTATTATCACATTCTTGTAGTTGCATGATAAAACATTTCAGGAGCATTCTTCTGTTAAATAACTTGATGTGCCATAGAGGTATGCTTGGCCTATAACTATTGTAGCCTACAAGCTGTTGCTGATGAATGCTTTGCTTTGTCTTTTCTTTTTTCATTTATTGAACCTGTTATTTTTTTTGTCAGAAAATATTAATTTGTGACATGAAGGTCAATATATGTCTAAATAAAATCTTGCATTTTTATCAAAATCGTCAAATGATTGTTAGTAATCAAGGATTCTTTTGTTTGTTAATCTCTCTTTTAATTTTGGTATCTGCTGCTTCATATGCTTTGCGAACGCCAAGGGTTGTCACCAAGGCGTTCGATCCCCTGCTTATCAAAAGTGTCAAATGGCATGTCAAAAGTGTCTTGTGTTGTTTATATGCGTTCGTAGATGGCACAATGGTTCAAACCTACACGACAAAGTTGTTGTATGAATTCACGTGTTGATATGCATGTGTACATGTCATAATGGATCAAACCTACACAACAGAGTCGTAGCATGATGGGTAATGTACAACAAAGCCCTTCCTGAACCCACAAACGATGGGTGGCTAACGCACCCATCTGCTGCGCTGCACACCGTGCATCTTTCGAGGTCTGCTTCAGTCAGTGCCTTCGGGTCCTTTCATGGTACTTGTCTTTGATCCACCGGAACCCGGTGCTTGATCCTTCCTTGACCTTCTTGAGCCCTGCGGAAGCCGCCGCCTTTGTCTTCTCCACGCCGCTCTTCCACCCGCCGCCGCCACTGCTGCTCTTCTTCTTCTTCTTTTTCTCCCCAAGCTGCCGGCCGTGATCGCTGTAGTCCCACTGGTCCGCCCATGACGTCCCGAAGGAGCTGCTTCTCTCCATGGAAGATGAAGACCGAAGACGTTTGCCTCGCTCGATGGAGTAAAAGTTGGGGAAAGGAAGGTGTGGTTATATAGAGAGGCAAGGCGGCAAATGGCGAGGTCACCTTGTGAGAAAGGAATAGATTACATCATCGCTCGTGCAAGAAAGGAACAGAGGAGGGAAGACATGTAGGATTGGAACTCTCCAGATCGGCCTCCTTGACTTTTTTTACATTGCTTCGCAACGCAAGTCACCGAAAGAGTTTATCTTTGTTTGACCGGGAAAACATCAGTTGCATTTCTTCTAGAAGAGGTATTAATGGCTTGCAATTAACGACATAGTCGCAAAAAAAATAGATCCAATGCGAACGAAATGCTTGTCATATCTCATCTGCAATGCTTGTCCCTCTAATTTTAATATTATATATATATATATATATATATATATATATATCTGTCTAGAATTAAAAAATTGAAATATAAAAAATAATTTGATTACTTCCTGGATTATCTGATTTCAGTATAGAAAATTCTAATTTAGAGCGTATGTATGTAATAAATATTGACTGACGGCTAATTGAAAAAGATTTACAACAATGACTTGTTTATATACTTTTGAGTTTTGCATATTTAAATTTCAAGAGATAAACGATATATGTAATTTTACCAGTTAGTTTTCATTCTTGCGATCGTAGAATCTTAACAAACCTCAATACTTTTTATCTATTGATTTAACATTTTTAATTAACTATAGTAGCTGTCACGTTAAAATGTGACCGGCCGTTTATTCTGTAACGCCAACGGAGGTGAACGAGTAAAAGGGAAGAAATGCGGTGCGAACAGTCCGTGCCGTCTCTCGAGCGGCTCGGGCTCCGCTCTCCGCGACGAGCTCCCACTACTGCCCGCCTTTCCCCCCTCGACCTCTCCGTTCCCCTTTATCTCTCTGTCGCGTCGTTCCTGTGGAGATTTTAGGGTTAAGGCTCCTCCTCGATCCCGCTTCGCCCGCAGCTGCGGCTCACCCGAGACGCTGACACACTTCTTGCTGATCGATTCCCCGCGGATGGGGCCCCGCGCCAACGAGCGGGATTTCGTGATCAAGGTCCGATTTCTTAGTTCCGTCCTCCCGCTTATATATCTTTTCCTGCTAATTCCCTTTGTCTGTGGATGTGGGTTATAGGTGATCTTAATATCTTCCTTTTGGTCTGTTTAAATTTGTGTTACTGTGCCGTTTAAATTTCTGTCAAGAGCGTCTCATGGGTGAGATTAAGTGATGATCGTGCGTATTTATATCTATGTTCCCTCTCTTTCACGTCTTATTTTTTGGAGAGGAGTTAAACATGTTAGGTAATTCCTACTAGCAGTACATCCTTGTTTTTTACCTTTTCCTGTAGAATGCTAGTGCTCTGTACTTCTCTCATTTCTCAGGCATCTTTATGGTTTCTAATCTTTTTAATCGTTAGTTATCAAGAAATTTTTAAATATTCAATTGATGTAATTCCTTTTTAATTTACAGCAATCATTTGATTGTTTATGAGCATTATTTGCTCTGTAGCTTAACTGTTTGACTTTGCAACCACATACATGCTAATTTCTTGAGGAAAAAGGTCTTTGAGCCCTCTGCAGAAACCAAGGCCTTTCTGATAAGTTGCCATAAGTTCATGCAACTGCCATTGTCATGATTACCTATCCTGCATGATGGTAGGATACTTGAAGTTAGATTATATCTGTTTTGTCAGTATTTTTTGCTGATAGTTTAATATTCAGTAGTCATGAAATTGTTATATTATCATGGATGGGGTACATTACTAATTAAGATTGTCGCTCACCAGTCCATACTGGTGATATTGTCCTCATATTATGTTGTGCAGACATGAAATTTTCATAAACGTGTTACTTTCCCAATCCTTTTGATCAAGGGCATTTTTGATCCTATAACTGGAAATGAAAAAAGAAGTCACATTTTTAATATTTGTATCTTATTACTTAAATATATTGAATTTTATTACTCCATTTATTTGTTTCCTTGAAGTTGTGCGGACAACCAATTGATTGCAAACCATTGGGCAACCGATCAGATGGTTTTAGGTGGCTGGTTATTGATCTGTCAATCAGCCAACTATCAGCAATTGTTGGTCCTGTGCTGGTCCAGTCAGTTACCAACCATCGCTCATTGGCTGTGGCCGGTCAGTTGCGAGTCCTGAAATAACATAGTCTCCTTATGATGACCTCAGCTATCCATGGTCTGATGTTGTTGAAGTGAAAATTAGTTATAAAAGTTTATTTGATTACTTCTGGTGAAAGTGACTTCTATAGTTGACTTGCAATGTACTAAATGATTTCATATTGGCTGTTTCAGGAAGTGTTACTTTTTGTTGTCCATTTCAACAGAGGAAAAAATTCATTGATTGTTTTGAGTACTTCACAAAATCCTTGCTCAACTAATAATGCATTGATGCACTACCCACTGATTTAAACTTTCATTTTCTGTCGAAGTTGTGTGCAGATATTTGTTTCTCGTGATTACTTATTCTTGTTATATGAGTGATCTTGTATTGATGGTCAAATGCGGCTCATAAGTTTCTTTTTCTTCAAAGAATCCCCTATTCAAAAATGTTTCACAAGTAGACTCTTTTCCAGAATATTTTGAAACCTCACTCATGGCAAATATGCTATTTTAAAATGTCTTTTTCTGTGCAGAAGAAATATCTCTGATGACAGATATAGGTCTAAAATCTTATTCTAGAAGAGCAAATTTTCTAACCAAGACCGCTAGTTAGATGTGTGTGGTTTGACTCATTATTCCTCTTCAGAGAAAGAAGCAAGTTCCACCCTTTCTGCTTGCAAAACTTTTGCACTTTCTAATATTTTGTAATTAGATTAATATGGACATGAACTAGCATGACCTCATTTTTAGCCGAGGTCTATCAGCCTGTTTCGTGGCATAAAAAATTCCTGCTCTTTTATCATATCATAAAGAAAACATATTAGGATACATTTGCTTTCTTTTTTTCATTCTTCCCTTGTTGTTCTATTTTAGTTTCTTACTATGCACCTTTTTGTTTTCATCTGTCTGTCAGATTTCTTTTGCAAGTTGTCTTTGTATTCATTTCATTCATTTGTAATTTCCAGGTAAAGTGTGGTGAAACACTCAAATGGTTTAGTACCTGCATCTATGGAGACATGATAGACCACAACATGACTAGACTGAGAAAGTAGATTATCAACCTTTTCAAGCTCAGTCCAGAAGCTGATTTTGTTCGTATCTATATTGATGTAGATGGTGACATTGTAGCACTAGATGATGATGATGAGTTGCATGAAACTGCAATTAATCAACCCTTGAATCCTCTTAGGATCAGTGTTTTGTTGAGATCAAATGCTAGTGATGGGCATGACCTGAAACATGAGAACATGAGCTCTGCAACTGCAGTGCCACCACAAGTAGATAAGCAGCCATTTGAATTTAGTTCTGTTATTAATGAAGCATTCAGATCTGTCCCTGGACAATTTTGTACCACACTTTCCAACATCTCTCATGATTTCCTTTCAAAGGCTGCATCGTCTGCACCAGCAATAGCTGATGTTCTAGACCACTTTTCCAAGTTAGAAATACCGAGTTGTAGTCAGACTGTCAACAGCTCAACTGGTGAACCATCAGGAACACCTAGTCAGTTGACAAGTCAGCCAAAGAATCATAACATCAGCAGGGAACCATAAGTTCCAAGTACCTCTGCTCCAGTATCAATAATTCTGATCCAGTTTCGGAGAACCTACATGAGCATGAGTGTGGTAATGGAAATCAGGTTGGTATAGTTAAGACTCGTACCTCTCATGATTTTAACAAATATAGTTCTCATTTTCCAACATTTGAGCAAGCATCTGGGCACCCTGACATCATTTTGATTACCAATGAGTTCTCACCTCTCTGATCATCAAAAGGAAAGTGGTAGTTTTGGTTGTAACGGAAAATCTGTTATGGCTGCTAACTCCATTGTGCCGTGTGAGCAGATTGCAGAACAAAATAATGAAACATTTAATCCTTCTCCTTCCCCGACTAATGTGCATGGATTTATTGGCATGGTGGCTGGTGACAACAGTAAACAACCTCCAACTAGTGCAGCCCCTTCGAGAGCACTAACTGACTTTAGTTTCCAGGGTGGCAAGCATCATGGCACTACAGCTACAGCTGATCTTCCTTCTCCAAATGGCTTGCACTCCGTTGGCCATTCTAACCAGAGGGATGATGTATATAATGACAACGGCCATCCTTTTCACAGGGGAATTAGATGTGATGGCTGTGGAATGTACCCAATCATTGGTCCATAATTCAGATCTCTAATGTGTAATGCAATACATACCTTTAATTGTTTGATAATGCTGTTCACTGTGAATCTTCTTATATTTTAATATTGTTTTTGGCTTTGCAGGAAGGAAGACTGATTTATGTACCGTTTGTTTCTCTAAGACGAGTAAAGAAGCTGACTTTACCAGGATTGACATGGTTCATTTATCTCATAATACAGCATAGTCTAATAATCTATTTACTTAATTTAATTTCATAATATAAGATGCGCTAACTGCTTCTGCATTCTTAATTCCAGCATTCTAGACATCGGATCTCCTCACCTCATTTACATGGTTTTGGTGTGAGGCGATCAAGACCAAAATTAGAAAGTTGCTTTATCAGAATATAACTGTGTTAGATGGAACCTTGATGCCTCCTTCGACTCGTTTTACTAAGATATGGCGGATGCAAAATAATGGTACTACCCGATGGCCTTACAGAACAAAGCTTGTTTGGGCTGGTGGTGATAAATTTGCTAACAAGGACTACTGTCCTTGCAAAGAACTGCCATTTTCAACTTACTAGATGAGCCATGAAGTTAGAATCTCAATCCATGCAGATTCCTTTTGATGGAATTTCTGTGAACAAGGAAGTTGATGTTGCAGTTGATCTCACCTCACCAGCAGTGCCTTGCCTGGTAGGTATTTTTCATATTGGAGATTGGCGTCACCTTTTGGTCAAATGCTTGGACAACGAGTTTGGGTTCATATTGAGGTCTGTTATTGATACTAACTATTTCTTTCATTGTGGTACTTTTATCTTGTGTGTTCTGTTATATAACTGCCCCTCATTACTCATACAGATGGATATCTCTCAACCAAACTCTGCTACTGGAGGTCTCAATCCTGATTTGAATTTGCCACCTGAAAACACTAGTCGAGGTTGGCTTGGAACAATAGATGCTGAACCCTTTCATAATGTTGCTCCTAAACCCATTTCCAGCAACACTTCAGGTGAACTGGTTAAGCCATTTGTCAATCAAATCCCAAATTGATGGTTGTCATCCTCTTACCATTAAGGGAACCGCACAGCCTGCATCTATGGTGCTTCCTCCTGTATCATATCCTAACATTAATTCGACAGTGTCTGAATGGTAATCATCTTTGGCTACGGCACCTTAACAGAAATAGTCATCCATATTAGACAACCAATCAATAAAAAATCTTTGGTTCCAACATGCCATCATTAACTTTCCTAAGATTGTGTCTACTATGACCTAGGTCATTTTGATAGTTATTGTGTACATGTGTCATGATGGTGCAAGTGGTGGTGCATGAGGCCTTTCATATACTCTTTTGGGCTTGTACTCGAAATGTAGTGAGTGATTTCTAGAACTATTAATTTTTTGAATGTGATTTTTCTCTTGGTCCAACTCTTGATCTGCCTAAGTATGATTTCAGTTATAATTATTTTGAGTTGGATCTAGGACCGTTGAAGTTTTAGCTTTCTCAACATATTATGAAACTATGGTAGTTTTAGCCTTCTCAACATACTATGAAACTATGGTAGTAGATGAAGTATCTAGGCAAACTTTGATATTAAGTAGTTTATGTGCAAAAGACTAGTACCTTTTCTTGAGACTACATAAAAGTTTGTCTCTTTGTCTATTAGTCATAAGACCATTATAAGGTTGTTCACTTCTAGTAGACATGATTGGGAACCTATTCTGATACCAAATATGATGTAGGACAATCCTAAAATGATACTTAATATGAAGAGAGAGGTGGTTTGGGTGAGTAATAAATTAAAAAAAAGGGGCTAATATAGATAGATAGAGAGAGAGAGAGAGAGAGAGAGAGAGAGAGAGAGAGAGAGAGAGAGAGAGA